ATCGCTTAAGTTTTTCGGAAAGAATTTCTACCGGAAATTAACAAACAAGCAGATACGCAACAATACTGTGCATAAATATAAGCTAAATGTAAAAAAGCAATGAAAATTTATTATTTTTGTTTTGCCATGTGTTATGCACAAAAATTAGATGTGTTCAGTTTTGGAAAGTAGGCTTGGAATGAACTACATTTTATTTATTTGCTTTCATGAAGCAAATATTATTACTAATAACTATATTATTTATGTTGGTTGTTTTCTGATGAAGACCTTTTGGGGAAAAGGTTATATTTAGTGCTCTATAAATAAATATTTTTTGTGCCTATTTGAGTGTGTAGTTATCTTCATTCTTTACCATGTCATTTTTTTAAGTTCGCACCTTTCTAATACAGACTGAATAAGTGCAGCAGTTTTGACTATTGCTCATTGCTTAACAAAAGCAAAATCTTTAGTAAGAGTTATATTTGATTTGTGTGGGTGTTTTGTGAGACTGTGAAGGGACAAATAGATTTTTTTATCATATCCTGTGCAAAATGGGTGAAGGAAACCATGTCAAGGATGGGCATGGCCAAAGAAGTTAGCTTGGAAACTACATTTCACAGAAACATGGAGGAAATTATAAAAGCCAGGAGCTGTAAAATGGATAGAAATGGTGTAAAAAATATGATTTGACCAATCTTAATGTATAGGAATGAATGTTAGCTGATACAGAAAAAACATGCAAATGTTACATAACATAGAGGTGAGAATGCTTGGTTGATGTGTAGAGTTACCAGGAAAGACCAAATCTACAACACATACGTATGAGAAAGCATAGGTGTGACAGCCATAACACAAAAGATACAACGAAACCACCCTAGGTGGTATGAATATATCATGCAAAGGCCAGAGAACTATGTAATGTAGTCAGATTGATGGAAATCAAAGGCAAACGACCAAAAACAAAATAGTTTGACACTGTTAGAGAACATGGAAATTTCTAGTGTTGAAGAGGAAGATGCCATGATGGATCAGAACAAATGGAAGCAGAGGACTCTTAAAGCGAACCCCACAATCAAATGGGATAAACACTGATATGATGATAATATTTTATTTTCCATTGTCACCCTTAGAACATCAAAGTCAGAGTTTTAGAGGTGTGAGCTCAAAACTTAAACATATAACTGATATCCCAGATGTTGTATGCTACAGTTAAATGGTATGTGCACTGTTGATAAAAATTAAGAACACAGTGTTAACTTTAAAGACAGTGTTCTCTAACCCATTCACATAGGTATGTGAACAAGTTAGAATACTGAACCTATACACCAATATAATTTTGATGTTCAGCACAAAAACTTGTTTATTTGTTAAATTTAATGCAAAGCTTCACAGAGCTGGATGATTTTATTGATTATCTATGAGGAGCAATTACACTGATTGGGTCATGTAAACTAATGGATTAATCAAAATCTCAATTATATTGTCACAAAAATAATCAACTGTTCAAAATTAGTTTTCTGATTATTAATGTTTTTGATTATTCTAGCAATGGATTAATCACAATGACACTGATTGTCATGAAAATAATCAACTACTCAAAATTGGGGTTTCTGATTATAATATTAGTGTTTTCAATTATTCTAACTAAGTAACCAAAATATTGCCATCAAACTTTCTTGCTCTATCTTTGTTATGGCAAATCTATTAGGACTATCTACCACTGTTATTAATTTTGAACTGCTGACTATGTGGAAGGAAACTGGCTGATAGCTCCCGCCACCAGCTTTTTTTCTTTGTTATTGTTGCTGAACTGCTGACTAAAGGGAAAGCACTTAGTTAACACTACTCATTGCCAACTCGTGGGCTACTCTTGTCAGACCAAATGGTTGGAGTTGACCATCATGACACTGCAGTGTGGAGCACGATTTTCTTTGGTGGTAACAGGATGTAAAATACAGAACCTCAGATCCACAGTCTGGCATGCTGGCCCTACTCTGCCCATGTACAAAAATAATCCAACTTTTCATGGATGAAAATTCACATAATTTTTAGTACCTCTATCTTTCTCAGAGACAAAAGAACACAACTTTTAATTTTTCTCGTACTCTTTACTTAAATTTTTTCAACAAGCTTCAGCTTATATTCCTGGATTAATATCCTAACAAGTGTTACACATTACCACTGATAAATTACAGTGAGAGGTAATCACACTTTATAAAAACAATATTCCCAGTCAGACTGCCCTTGGATCTACTTCCTCCATCATTAATTGAGCTTAATCTTATGGTTGTGATAATGCAATATTATCCAATGCTACAATATCCACCCTAACAAGCTTCTA